CCACGCACACCGGATCGGTCTGAATCTCCACCATCCTTCCACTCTGCGACTCCTCTGCCGTCGACTCACCCAGCGCTCGCCTCCCCTGGGCCCTCGAGTCGCCCGATCGCGCCGATTCCCCCGATTGCGCCGATTCCCCCGAGCCTGCCCACGCCCTCCGCTGCCGCGATGGGATTTGCTGCGGAAGATGACTTGGCCACTATCGGCATGTCGCGCGAAGGGATCATCAAGATTCGCGTTTTGCGCAGCGAGCTGTAAGCTTCTGATGGATCGCCTCGCGTCCATTGAGCACCAAATCCGACTCAACGAGGCCCTCGAGCGCGAGATGACTGGCGAGGACGTGATGGAATGCAGCGACGAGGATGAGCCGTGAGTCATGTGCGCGAGTTTTGGTCGCAGGTTAGGGGTGCGATTTTCTTGACCCATTCTTGATCGTTGGTTTAACATCCCGTATGAGACGTTGTATAAGACCGTAATGTACCACGAACTAGCTGTGACGCGTTTTAGTTCTTGTCATATATATATCCTACCTACCTGTTGCAATGCGATCATATGTATGAGACGGTGGTGTCGCTATCAAGTGATTCACTGGCAACCGTCTCTCGGTTGTCGCGGGCAATCGGGTCCGATTGATCATTGTCGCCATGACTGATCAACGGACAGCGATGCAGTCAGTGTGTTGCATCAGTGGCGACTTGCTGTGCGAATATGGGCTACCTGAATGGGTGCCATTGCGAGGACTTAGCCATTGCGTCCCGTCGTTTCACATGCAGTACAGTTGCAGATCTGCTTCAACACCACTTGGACCTTCGCTACCTAGTGGGCGACGTCATATGAGGCATCCGGGTGCGCTGAAATTACCGTGAGGACACACGAACGGTGCTCTCATACAAGGGTGCACACGCGATCGCGATGAATACATCCCAAATCTTTGGGTGGTCGCGACTGTTCTATGACGTGTGATTCCAGTCGCCTACGCTGATGTGGTGCACCCGTACAATCCATCTGCGACTCAACTCGTCGCGAACGCTGCGACTGAGTTATTGCAGTTCATTCTGACCTCCGAAGACAGGAATACTGTATATGCGCAGCCATATCATACTCTGGTATTGAATCGCTGAACGCCGCGCCTTTGATTTGCTTCGATCTGCATTCCAAACTTCTGATCGGCCATCTTCTAACCCTTCATCGACATCTCTTCACTCATGTCGGGATATGCACCACTCATCGTCAAAGACAGCCCCTACGTGACGTCTTCTGTGGCACTGCGACTCTGAACACACAAATGTGTCGCTTCCACACCCCCAATCTCTTGGTACTCAATGTCCAGTTTAGAGGGCCGAGAGGGAACGCTTCCTGTTTCGATCTGCGACTCGGGCATGGAACCTTGTTATGCACGTATGCAACCGCCATGTTGAAATCTAGTGAAGACCTGGAACTTACACACACGCGTGCGCAGCCCTCAGCGACAGCGATGCGGCGTAGGCGTTAACCGTGCGACAGATGTAACAGATGTTCCGAACTCGCTTGCACACAGCGAAATGGCTCGCCACTGACTGAAGTGCGACATGGGTTATTACGATTATGAGCGTTGTACCTTTGGAAGCAAGCCAGTTCAAATCTTGATCCATGTAGCACCTCTATGTGAGACCTCAAGCTCCAGCACGCTTTCGCCATAGCTCTGTCGCTGTTGTATCTGGATACTAGGCCATATTAACTGGGCTTCATTCTTGACCCCCGATCGCGTGGTTCTCGCGCACGATATTGAGTCAGTGATTTTGCGTGACGCTAGTCCCTCACTGCTTTTCAATGTTACTTCCACTCGTTCAATCATGTTCCAAACACTGCAACCCACAACTTGGTCTCACATTTAGGTAAGAGGCATATTCCATTGTAGGGTGCACAGACGGCCGTAATATCCCTCCAGCACTGTTACAAGCATCTCGGTCGACAGCAATTGCCTTGAGTCGGAGTCGCCCACCATATGGCCAAGTCGCTTCCAAAGGCCTATATTCTGGTCGAAGTAATCAGCAGGGCGATTGCGATGTTAGTCTTCATGTGCCGAAACAGGCCACTTTTGAACCATCCATCGGTAGATGGACGAGTCAATGGGCTAAGTATACTAGACTCGAGTCTTGGGTTAAATTTCATAACTAAGCCGAAGACATGTCCCATGGGAAATATGGTGTGAAATGTCATGTTCGTGACATCATTGTGGAATATTAACCATGTTTTCGACCGCGACCGCCAGCCTTAAACATGCGATCGCGAGGATGGCAACCGCAACTGGCGAAGCCTAAACCACGCGATTGCTGCCAGTTCTGACTTTGAGGCACGCAATAACTGCGATTGTGGTCCTTTGATATGCAATTACGGCGATTGCGATCGAAATGCATGCCATTACTGCAATTGCGATGTTCATCTACGCCAGAGCACCATCATGTATGCAATTGCTGCGATTGCGATGGCAGAGATCGCAATTGTCATGTATGCGATTGCTGCGAGTGCGATCGTCAGGCATGCGATTGCTGCGAGTGCGATCGTCAGGCATGCGATTGCTGCGATTGCGATTGTCAGGTATGCGATTGCTGCGATTGCGATTGTCAGGTATGCGATTGCTGCGATTGCGATTGTCAGGTATGCGATTTCTCCGATTGAGCGTTTTGAGCACACGTTCATTGCCATTACAATTCTCAGATATGTGCTCACGACCATCTCGAGGTTCAGGTACACAAACATTACAATGACAATTGTCTAACATGCAATCACTGCAATTACGACAATGATGTATGGTACGCCGGAAGGCGACAGTTTGATTTCGGTTTGAGGTGGCTGTTGCTGAGGCCCGATCCGCTGACGTAAGCTAGTCTGGCCAAAAGTCTTGTGCTAATTTGGCCTCTCCTCACTAAAATCATGTTCTACTGAGTGCTACAGACTATTCATGATCTGTATCGGGTTGAATTTTAGCTTTTGAATACATTGTGGGGACTCCATGTCTAGGATTTGAGCCAGAATAGCTGGAACCTTGGTAAGCACCATTGGGTAATGGTCACACTTGCTGGTGGATGACGTCTTCATTCTGTACGGGGGCAATTGGGTGCAATGCTTTGCTTTGATTCCTAAGTGGCTTGAATTGCAGAAAATGGTTGGAGAACTCACATCGCTGCAGATGAAAAGAACTTAAGTGCAACTGATGTCCGCCACCAGTCCAATTTAGGCAGGTGTGACGTGAGTCTGGAGTGCTTACGGAGTTCCAGTGCTCTGAGACAGACAATCCATACCACAGAACACCCAAAATCCATTGAAAAGCCAATGATGCACTCAATAATGCCTCTTAATTATCTCAGAGTACATGGTAATGAGCTAATCTAAGGGAGAGCACAGACAAGGCCATGCAACACTCAGCCAGAGTGGCTTACTTAAGCAGAGCAGGCCTCAGTAGTGGCCATACCATGGCTGTATCACTGATTTTGAACTGTGGCCTTCCTGCCGACCTTAATTATAATAATGATGCTTGTGATTGCTGTGATCACCAGGCTGCAATCATAATGAGCATTGCAAACCCGTGGCTTCACCACGGGTTTACAGGGCCATTTTTTCATTCAGGGCTTCATGGAACTTTTAAGATTTCATACTTATGCAATGCCAGACCTGGGTGTTGCCTCAGGTCTGGCGGCAGTTCTTTCATTCTGTGATCTGGGTTACTATGAAGGTTATATGCTTGGGCATTGCCAGCCCATGGCTTTCCCACAGGCTGGCAGCATGTTTTATTCAATGCTGTGTGATAGTATTCATGCTACCTGGCCCGTGGTATACTTTCAGTGATATCCTTGTCTTCTTGAATATCAGGGCAATTATGTCCTGGTACTGATATTCCCTATTTCCCAGTAATTATGCCTCATTTTCCTGGTACTACTCAGATAATTATCATATTGCCTGGTATTAAATTCTGGGTGCGATCAATACTTGCACCACTGATTTCCCCTTATTTTCAGTCTTGTATTTGCATTTTAATTCAATTTTCCCAGTGTGTGTAACCCACCCAGCAATACTTCTTGTCTTGTTGAATGGAATCTGCTGCAGGGCAAATTTTTGGATATCACCACCATTTCATTCTAATATTTCCTGGTAATGATATTCCCTGTTTCCTGTTTTCCCATTCTCAACATGTTCTGTTTTCACAGTGCTGACTATTTTTCCCAATACACATCATCCCATTTTTGCAGGTCTCAGGAACACCTCAGTACTCACGGGTCTTATTTCTCGGAACTGAATTGTCCTGCATTTGGTATTACTCATACTGATTTCCCTACATTTCACATGGAAATCGTGCTTGGGGACAGCTTGGGCAGGGTTGCAGGTGCCTGAGAGCAAAAAGCACCCAACCCACGTGACCGGTAGGTTAGCTGAGGCCATGTGGCAAACATGGATGCCATGTGTGATTCTCATGGGGGTAGTCCTAAACCATGCAATTTACGTACACCGCATTGACACTGCCGTCCCATAATGATATCAATGTGTATGGTGTTGTGTGCAATTGGTGACACTCAATTGGGGACATGATTGGGTATGCTGTTGTGCAGTGTAGCATGATTGATGTTGCACAATCACCAATATCACCACTAATACACATGTATATGGTATGGCACATTGGATGTAGGGTGATCACCAATACTGTAGTGTGCTAACACTTGTTGTACGGTTCCCGCCACAACCACATTGTGTGACAATCAGGCCATTCTCTGTAATCAAATTGCGCCGTTCCTGTGTCAAAAATGGCAGGAGAAATTGTGGAATGTACTGGGTGGACGGAACACAAGACCACAAGTTGCTTGTAGATCTCTATGCCCCCACAGCCGCCCTCCTCTGTGTTTGGCATGACTGAGGCTAGGTCTTCAGCTAGGTGCCAGTCATCTTCAGCAGTGACTGGTACATGACTGTGGACATTCATACATCAATTGAATGCCAGAGCAATGAGCAATGCACATGCATCCTGTGGGCTGTCTGCCCATACCCCTGTGCCCAGGCTTTTGCAGGTTGCCTTCACACTTCCCCAACTTGATGCACATCTCGATAAATCCTAGTTCTTCAACCCAAATGGTGTACGAGTCCCAGAACTCTTTCCGGAGGATTTCGAGATGAACAATGTTGTACATAGATGATGTCAGCTTCCTTTTTGGTTTCCACCAATATCCTGCCTTAATCCTACAAGGAGGTTTCAAGTTGGCTAATACCAGAGAGAACCAATGTAGTGTGCTGTAATCATGTCTTCCAGCACATCCACCTGTCCCTTGATCAGGGCTCCAAAGCCAGCGAGAATAGGTAAATCTGTGCACTTCTCCCATTAATCTGGACAAGTTCATTTGTGCTATAGCCAGGAGCCCCTATTGCTACCAGCAACACCATACAGAAGATAGCAATGTCCAGGCATTTGAGTCCAAGTATGTTAGGTTGTGGTGTGATTGGTGTCCGGCCATAACCGAAATTGCGAGCAATTGCACAACTGATGATGCACCATGAACAAAATTGCGAGTGGTTGCACAATGGATAGTGCATTACAACCCAAATTGCCACCAGTACACATGGATATAGTGTTTTGCAAATGACAACATGCCACAACGCAAATCGCAAGTGATTGTGCAACTGACAATGCACCATAAACAAAAATGCAAGCGGTAGCGCAACAGATGATGCACCATAACCAGTATTGCCACCAAATACACATGTGTATAGTGTTTTGCAACCAAGGGCGCATCGTAACCAAAAACATGAGCGATTGTGCAACAGATGATGCATGACAACCCAAATTGCCACCGATACACATTCGTATAGTGTTTCGCTACTGACAGCATGCCATAAACAAAAACGCAAGTGATTGTGCAACAGATGATGCACCATTATCAGTAGTGCCACCAAATACACTGACGATGCACCAAAACCGAAATCGTGAGCGTTTGCGCAATGAATGGTGCCCTGCAATCCAAATCGCCACCAATGCACATGCGTTTAGTGTTTTGCAGCTGACACCGCGTCATAACCAAAATCGCGATCGATTGTGCTACTGACGATGCACCATAAACAAAAACGCGAGCAATACACATGTGTATAGTGTTTCGCTACTGCAGTGTGTCATAACCAAAATCGTGATCGATTGTGCTACTGACGATGCACCATAAACAAAAACGCGAGCAATACACATGTGTATAGTGTTTCGCTACTGCAGTGCGTCATAAACAAAAACGCAAGCGATTGCGCAACAGATGATGTGCGACAACCCAGATTGCCACCAATACAAATGTGTATGGTGTTTTGCTACTGCGGTGTGTCATAACCAAAATCGCGATCGATTGTGCTACTGACGATGCACCATAAACAAAAACGCAAGCAATACACATGTGTATAGTGTTTCGCTACTGCAGTGTGTCATAACCAAAATCGCGATCGATTGTGCTACTGACGATGCACCATAAACAAAAACGCGAGCAATACACATGTGTATAGTGTTTCGCTACTGCAGTGTGTCATAACCAAAATCGCGATCGATTGTGCTACTGACGATGCACCATAAACAAAAACGCAAGCAATACACATGTGTATAGTGATTCGCTACTGCAGTGCGTCATAACCAAAAACGCAAGCGATTGCGCAACAGATGATGCGCGACAACCCAGATAGCCACCAATACAAATGTGTATGGTGTTTTGCTACTGCGGTGTGTCATAACCAAAATTGCGATCGATTGTGCTACTGACGATGCACCATAAACAAAAACGCGAGCAATACACATGTGTATAGTGTTTCGCTACTGCAGTGCGTCATAAACAAAAACGCAAGCGATTGCGCAACAGATGATGCGCGACAACCCAGATTGCCACCAATACAAATGTGTATGGTGTTTTGCTACTGCGGTGTGTCATAACCAAAATTGCGATCGATTGTGCTACTGACGATGCACCATAAACAAAAACGCGAGCAATACACATGTGTATAGTGTTTCGCTACTGCAGTGTGTCATAACCAAAATTGCGATCGATTGTGCTACTGACGATGCACCATAAACAAAAACGCGAGCAATACACATGTGTATAGTGTTTCGCTACTGCAGTGTGTCATAACCAAAATCGTGATCGATTGTGCTACTGACGATGCACCATAAACAAAAACGCGAGCAATACACATGTGTATAGTGTTTCGCTACTGCAGTGAGTCATAACCAAAATCGTGATCGATTGTGCTACTGACGATGCACCATAAACAAAAACGCGAGCAATACACATGTGTATAGTGTTTCGCTACTGCAGTGCGTCATAAACAAAAACGCAAGCGATTGCGCAACAGATGATGTGCGACAACCCAGATTGCCACCAATACAAATGTGTATAATGTTTCGCTACTGCAGTGCGTCATAAACAAAAACGCAAGCGATTGCGCAACAGATGATGCGCGACAACCCAGATAGCCACCAATACAAATGTGTATGGTGTTTTGCTACTGCGGTGTGTCATAACCAAAATTGCGATCGATTGTGCTACTGACGATGCACCATAAACAAAAACACGAGCAATACACATGTGTATAGTGTTTCGCTACTGCAGTGCGTCATAAACAAAAACGCAAGCGATTGCGCAACAGATGATGCGCGACAACCCAGATTGCCACCAATACAAATGTGTATGGTGTTTTGCTACTGCGGTGTGTCATAACCAAAATTGCGATCGATTGTGCTACTGACGATGCACCATAAACAAAAACGCGAGCAATACACATGTGTATAGTGTTTCGCTACTGCAGTGTGTCATAACCAAAATCGCGATCGATTGTGCTACTGACGATGCACCATAAACAAAAACGCAAGCAATACACATGTGTATAGTGATTCGCTACTGCAGTGCGTCATAACCAAAAACGCAAGCGATTGCGCAACAGATGATGCGCGACAACCCAGATAGCCACCAATACAAATGTGTATGGTGTTTTGCTACTGCGGTGTGTCATAACCAAAATTGCGATCGATTGTGCTACTGACGATGCACCATAAACAAAAACGCGAGCAATACACATGTGTATAGTGTTTCGCTACTGCAGTGCGTCATAAACAAAAACGCAAGCGATTGCGCAACAGATGATGCGCGACAACCCAGATTGCCACCAGTACAAATGTGTATGGTGTTTTGCTACTGCGGTGTGTCATAACCAAAATCGCGATCGATTGCGCTAGTGATGATGCACCATAAACAAAAACGCAAGCAATACACATGTGTATAGTGTTTTGCTACTGACAGCGTGCCATAAACAAAAATGCAAGTGATTGCGCAACAGATAATGCGCTACTGCATTGCGTCATAACCAAAATCGCAAGTGATTGCACTACTGACAATGCACCATAAACCAAAACACAAGCAATTGTGCAACAGATGATGCACCACAACCCAAATTGCCATTCATACACATGTATATGGTGTTTTGCAACTGATGATGCACCATAATCAACATCGCCACCAATACACATTTCCCAGCCTGTCTGATGGTATGTCAGTGAGCTGCACAAAATCCCACACAAATGGGTGGTGCTCAATGAAGCAGCTAGGTCATACATACATTGCAATTTCATGAATTGGGTTGCCTCGGGGATAGGATTCAACTTCAAACTGTATACAATGCCTAGCCGTCAAGCGGAACTCCAGCAATCCACACAGATGTACAGTGGTTGGAAAGGGTGTAGCCCAGTTTTTTCCATAAGTGCCAAGGTCCATTCAATATACTGTCCAGTCACCACTGAAAAATATATGTATGGTCTTGTGCAACAAGATCACTGCAATTGTTCCCTGTTGATTGCAGTGATTGTT